TGGAAGGGTCGAGGAGCAGCTTTACACCTCTACCTGACTGAGGTACAAATTAGATTCCATGTCTGGGAACCCACTCTTGAGAGGATCCAGTCTCTGAGCAGAATTCATAGAAGTCTGGCTCTTAATTTGGAAACTCAATTCCTGGTGAAAAGAGACTTGCATAGACAGCTTCAACATGAATAAAATCTTTATCATCTTAAGAAAACCAAACTACATAAAATATTTCCTTATTATCAACACAAGTCTTTTAACATCCATTCATGAAGTAAGAAGACAACATGGAAAAGCTGCTAAACGAAGTCTGTTAGTTTTAGGCACAGGATCTCACCATGTTGACCATGTTGTCAAATTCCTGTGCTCAAGTGATCCTCCCGCCTCAGCCTCTTTTGTAGCTGGAACTACAAGCACATGCCACAAGGACAACTAAATAAATGTGGTTTTTGTTTGTTTGCTTGTTTTTTGTATGATGCTGGGGACCCAAACCCAGGGCCTTGTACATGTTGGGCAAATGCTCTACTACTAAGCTAAATCCCCAGTCACTAAATAAAGTTTTAAGTCAAAAGAAACCTCCTACCAATGTTTTTTGAAATCCTCCAAATCACTAAAACTGAACAGGGAATGGAAAAGCACTAAACAAGGTATACTTGATACACTCATTTTGTTTTTTGTTTTTTTCCCTCTCACTTAATTACATGAAACTGCGATTTTTTTAATTGCTTAGAAAATTGCCTTCCTTTGGCTGAACAGAAATCTGCTAACAAGCAATTGTAATTATTCCAAAGAAATATCACTGACAGGTATACAGTCCTTTTCCAACAGTAGCACCAAGCCTGGCTTCTCCTGAGGGTGATTAGAAGACCCCTGGCCACCATGATGGAAGCCAATTGTATCTAATGAATGTGTCAGATTGATTGACAGACTGGAACCAACTAGCAGGTTCCCAGGTCCACAGCAGAGCAGAGTACAACCTACTGTTGAGGTATAATAATGTCATTTAAAACACTGTTGGACTGGGGGTATATAGCTCAGTGGCAGAGTGCCTGCCTAGCATGCATGAAGCCCTGGGTTTGATCCACAGTACTACCAGAAAAAAAAAAAAGAAAAAGAAAAAAGTTGTGTTGTCAGTTGATTGTTTCTTACCAGTTCTAAAAGAATTTTAAGATAATTCCTCCCTATCCCAAGTAAGTATTCATTAACTTGGTAAAAAAAAAAAGATTAAAAACACTTGTTAAATCCATGATTGAAATGTAATTATTGGTAACATTTTGATGTGTTTTTGGTTTTTATATGTACATATAAAATACATATAAGTTAAAAAAACACCAATGTCTCCACTGTTATATTATTTAATTTAGTTTATAAAATGTAAATTTATTGATTTAATGTAAAATTTTATGTAGTAAATTATAATTAAATTACATGCCTATTCATACATTATTTGTCCCACTGAACAGTAAATTCTGTGGGGACAAGGGCTTTCATTTATTCAAATGAACTCATTCCCTCCAACAGTATTTGCTTGGCACCCTACAGGCACTGAAAATATACCTGTTGACTGCTGTTCATTGGCAGCTATATACCAATACTTTTAGCCAGCATTTACTATTAAAGGGACACATTCTGTTTTAACAATCCCAAGAATTAGTTCATCGTCCTAAATGTAACACGGAGTTAAATACCTTCTCCTAGATTGTGTAAAACACACAACTTTTCAGGTCTTCATTATATGTCTTTCTAATCAAATTCCAGTACTCTTTTGCTTCACAAAAGACGTAAAAACTTTGTGCACCTACCAGGCTTGGCTTTCAATCCACTGGGATAAATAATGCCGCACCTCAATGGGGAAATGTTGGCCATACAAGGCTTGCATCTGATGAAGGGCGTCTCCCTGGAGCTGCTGAGCTTGGATCCACATAGCCATGGTTCACAATCTGTTAAACAATTATAGTTTGAATGTCTTTTTTTTTTAACTTCCCCTCTTTAAACCTGCTAGAGTAAATATTCACACAGTTTAAAAGTAAATGCTTTAGTCCTTTTGGTAGACTAAAGATTGGCATTCTTGAGGAGCATTTTAGCTTTAATATGCTTTCAAAATGCAGACGCTCAACGTGGCCATGGGAAAGTACCCAGTTGGGTCTGTGAAGCATTAACTAGAACTGTACTGAGATCCAATAAGCAAATGCACAGAACCAATTTTAGGGAATAGCTTTAATGACCTAGAGATATTCTTTACTTTTGTTCAAACTGTCAGCAATGATAACCAGCATTTCAACATTCATAATAAGTAATTAGTAGAGGGATTTTTGAAAGGTCATTTTCGATTAGATATTTTGGCCTGAAGAAATGCAAGAAATATGCTGCCAGTTAGAAAAAAAGAGCCCAGTTTTAAAAAAAAAAAGTGAAAATATCTATAGCCTGGACTGATGAACCCTGCATATTAACACTAGTCCCTTAAATAGCAATGCTTCCACACAAAGAACACAGACTTATTTGGCAAAATACCCCAAGGTTCATCTTCAGGATTACTGCTATAGAAATTATGAAGCACTGTTCTGTTAAATTATAGCATGCAAAAAATCTTTCAGACACAAAAGCAATACATTTCACCCAAGTTAGAAGCGAAAATGAACTACTGTACTTTTTTTTTTTTAAACATGCACTTGGTTTCAGAAAAAATCATTTTATAAAGCTACCAGGATGCCTCCTCAGACTCACCTGAGATTTGTTTATTTATTTATTTATTGGTGGGACTGGGGTTTGAACTCAGGGCTTCATGCTTGTAAAGCAGGTGGCCTATCACTTGAGCTGCCACCACCCCCAGTCCACTTTTGCTCTGGTTACTTTTGTCTCACAAACTATTTGCCTGGGCTGGCCTTGAAATTCTAGACTTTCAATCTCAGCTTCCCAAGTAGCTAGGATTACAGGCATGAGGCACTGGGTGCCTAGCTCACCTGAGAATTTTTAATTCATTTGATAAGAGACTCTCTGGGATTAACTAGACTGGGACAACAGCGTTACTTTATATAACATTACTTTAAACCAATCTTACTCTAACACTGTTTCCTATAATGTGGAATTTGGAATAAGGTAGGGCTATCTTGGATCCCATCCAAAATGACTTGGCTACTGATCTGCAGAATTCTCCTTAGAACTATGTTACAGTTATGGTCCAGTGAGTTGGACCTGGATTTTGTTGACGACCAGAGCTTGCACACGTGCATATGTGTCAGGAAACAAAAATCCCTCCTCTGTGAGTTGTAGCCATCTGATCACATAACACTGAGCTATTTATGGGATGAGTCAGTTAGCCAACAATGAGGTATGGGGTGGTGCCAGTTACCTATTTTAGACTTGTGTGATGATGCTATAGAACATATGAACAGTGTACAATTTTATTTAGAGCTTTTAGGCATTAGGGTAGAGATCACTGTACAATCACTCCAGAAATCAAATTTCAGTGGCTGTGATTAACAGGAACAAAGGCTGGGACAGGAAAGCTCTTCCATAAGCAATTCCCCTTGATAATCAAACATCCGGAAGACAACATTCAATATACTTTTTAATCAAATGAATCTTATTCCAAGATTTTGACAACTCAAAACATACTAAATCATATTTTGAAGGAAGGATGCAGGGATGGAGGGATGAGTATATACCATACAGAAGCATGATATGAAAATAAAAAGCAGAGTTCTGATATCAATCTTTCTTAGTGAAGGACCAGGAAGAAGCAGGAGCTCACCATAGCTCTCTTAATAAACATGCAAATAATACCAACAGATAGGAAAGTTTCTTGTACTTGCATTCACCATCAGAAGTGATTCAAAAGTCAAAAGGAGTAAAGTGGTAGAAAAACTCAGAAACCCCTTTCCAGTCCACCCAAATAAAATGGTTTTGTGGTGATTCTCTATCCTTTTCTTATCTGTGTTTCTTCTTGTCATTATTACTTTCTGACATGTCCCCTATATTCGTTTACTGACTTCCCAGTAGGGTGAAATTGCCATGAGCACAATGACTTTGTTTTGCTCACTCTCTTTCTCTTAGGCCTCGAACAGTATCAGACATATAAGCACCACCAATTCTCCTTGATGTTGCATAAACATATATACACGCTATGGTCGAATCTGTCAGGCTTATTGTTTGTTTGCTTGTTTTAAAGTAGGGTCTCACTATGTAGCCCAGGCTGGCCTTGAACTCACAAGCTTCCTGCCTCAGTCTCAAGTACTAGGATTACAGGCGCAAAACACTATGCCTGTCCTTCTTTTCAAAATTATTATGGAACACATCAGTTTGAAATACCAAGGCATGAAAATGAAAAAGATTTCAATTTTAACCGATCAATTACAACTTTATAATTTGGATAAGTCTATGTTGACAATGTCTCTGTTCCTTGATAATATATGCAGTTGTCATTTTTTTTTTCAACTCTAATTGTAATTTTTCCTTTTAGTTTTTGTTTATTGTTTTTGTATATCTTTCCCCAATTGAACACTAAGAGCAGTAAGTGAAGGGGGACTCATCTATTTTTTTTTCAAGGCATTTTTATTAGCAGACATTAGTTATACAAGGGGAATTCACTGACATTTCTGAATATGCTTACGCTGTACATTGGTTAGGTTCGCCCTCACCATCTCTCTCCCTCATCCTCTTCCCCCCCAACTTAAACTATTACAAAAGGTTTCATTGTTCTACTTCATATATGTATATGAACCATATACATGGTTCATATCATGTATATGA